AGAGGAGGAACCGAGGGGGTTGACGCGCTCGAAGAGGGCCGCTGGGGAGTGAGAGAGCGGTACGGGTCGTCGGAGGATTGAGACGAGGGGTTGCGCGGGAGAGCGAGAGGAACCGACGGAAGGTAGAGAGGGGGGGGTGAGTTGACGGCGAGTGAGAGAGTGGGGTATGGGTGAAGCGTTGGTAGCGGTATGAGGCTCTCTCTACCGTGGAGCTAGGGTGAGGATGCCGGGGAGGGGAGCATGTGGAGGCGGCGGCGCTGCGGTGCGAGAAGGGGAGGAGGTCGTCGTCGTCGCGTCGCCAGTTGCTAGTTTGCCGTGAGCGCTCGTGATGCGAGGACGTTCTGTGAACAGATCAGCGAGCCCAGAGCTCTCCCATCTCTCGCTGTGAACGACACAGGAAACGAGCGTGCACGCAGGCAACGATCGTGCAAACAGGCCATTTTCGCCCGATAAACGATCCTACGGGGAAAGCGTCAGATACGGTGTGAAAATCTTGGGATTTGTTTCCTCTTCTCGATTTATTCGTACGACTGTTTATCTTACTTACGAACACGAGGAGTGCAACGTGCACGAGGAGAGATCATCGATTTCTAATATATATCCCGTATTCCTTGTCGAAAAGATCAGTGCACAATAGTAAATTCGTCGATTGAAGAAAGATTAATCGACACCCGTTCGGTCGGAATGATCCAGAGTTTATGCGCGGACCAGCTGATCGTGAAACTGTCTTACCGGTTTAATGTACTTTGTGGAGTTCGCCTTGTGTGAGTTTATCAGATCGTGACGTGGACACGGAGAGAGAGAGAGAGAGAGAGAGAGAGAGAGAGAGAGAGAGAGAGAGAGAGAGAGAGACAGCTGATAAAGACAGCTGAAGACACGCGTGAGTAGGCGTAAGTGAGAATAGAAAAGCACGAGCTAACGTGAAGAGAGAAAGAAGAGCGCACTTCTTCGTTTTGGAGCGCGCGGATATTCTTCCGGTCTCGTTCCGGTTGCGCGCGCGGCGCCTATTTTAATCTCGCGCGGCGCCGACACCTGCTACCGCAACAACCAACTGCGCGGGAGGTTTTGTCGCGGAACTTTCGTGGCGCCGCCGTGTATTCCGTGTGCGGTGTGCGCGGGGGTGACAGCTTAAAGTTCACGAGCGCAAGGTGGGACGGAGTGCGCGGGCGCGCGCGCGTGCGATATAAAGAAAGATAGAGAGAGGGACAGAAAACGAAACACGAAACTAACTCCGAGAAAGTTTACTCGCGACGTGCCGGTCGCTCCGGAAAGAGCACCTCATTCTCTACACCGAAGTGGTAGATCGCACTGCGTGTCGAAGGAAACCGTCAAAAGCGGAAGCGGGGAAAGAAGATAGAAGAGGAAACGGCAGGGACGAGAGAGAGAGAGAGAGAAAGAGAGAGGAACACTCGTCACCGCGTGTGCTTGTCTATCGTCGTTGTCAATCCCTCGCTGCTTCCCTTCCCTCTCGCCTTTGTGTTCCTCGTGCTCGTCGCCGTGCCTTCGGGTGGACGCCTATGGCTCGTCAGTAGGAGGGAAAAACAGACGGAAGAGCGAAGGACAGAGACAGGAGGAGAGACAAGAGGACAGAGGCGGATAGTCGGATAGAGACCGGCGAGGCAGATATTCCCGCTCCGGGCAGGGGGGCAGAGAGGGCACCCCAGAGAACTGAATATGTCCGCCAAGCGAAAGTCCACTGCCATCATGCAGCACCACAAGGTGAGTCTGTACACATACTCTACGACATGTGCACGTATTGCACACGTATACATTACGCACATTTATTTGCCGCCACGTGATATATCGATACTTACACTTGACGTCGTTTTTACCGTCACAGCAGTGAAAGAAGACAGTGCATCGAGTCGGGAACGCTTTCTCGAATTAACGGAACTAGGGAGAAACTTTGGGCCACTGACAAAATAATGAGTCAGCAGGTCCAAGGTTAAAATTCTCCACGGGTGCAGAAAAGAACGAGGGCTGGGGTACACACTTCACGTAGAGCAGGTAGAGATTTATTTGTTTCTTTTTTTTTTTTTATGTTTAACCTTGACATAACGCGACGATTTATTTTACGATCGAACCGACCCTCGTTCGTTCCTCCCCAACCCTGAAACCCTGCTGAATGTGACGATGAATTTTTTTCCAATGAAAGCTCGAAAAGCTCGACGGAAAGCACGGCGCGCTCCGTTACGTAACTCGTTACTGCGCGCGCGGAACCTAATTTTTTTTCGGTGCGCGGCAAGATAAACTGCGAAAAAGTTTTAATTGAAAGAGTTGTGTAAATCCCACGCGGCGGCGGCAGCGCCGACGACACGATGAGGTGCGGCGAAGTGCGCCGAGTTCGAAAAATTGTTCTCGTGCCGTTCGTGCTTCGCGCAAAACTTGACATTACGCGCATCAAATTACTTGCAATGCGTTACGGCGTACTAGCTCACTCGTCTAATTATATTTACACAACAATGCAGATCCTTGCGCACTTGAGAGTAGAATTTTCTGTTTGAAAGGTGGCGGATTGACTGTCAACGTAATTCTTAATGCACAATACGATGATGTTACTGCCATCACTGTTTTGCATTCTATAATTAATCTGAGACTGCATATATTGAAAATATTTTATATATATTTAAAGTATTATATTTAATATTCAAAGATCTTTCGTGCAAATCTATGAAGAAATCAACTATTCATTAATTAAAGTCAAAACACATTGGCATCTATTATATAACATGGAAAAATAAAGACAATGTAAATTTACGAAATTTCGTGAAAAGGAATTAGAATGTGTGCGGGATGATACTTTTTCTAATCGAAAATTTAATTTTTGTTAATATTATTCGCTTCTCTTACTTCTGGAAGAAGGCAATAGTAGTTATGTGTACACGTCGATAATGCCGTCACACGTTTGACACATACACGTGGAGAGGTCAGCGATCGTCTCTTTAAGTTCGTACTGGTGTATCATAAGTAAATAATTTCCACTTCTTCGGAATCGTCGCGAGTATCGAGGGACGATCATCCGTGAACCTCGATGACACACACGTCCGGCGCGAATCGCGCAATTCGCTCGTCAATAACGAACTCGGTCGGATCGCACTTATCTCGCGACTTTTTTTTCCTCGGTCGCAGCAAGATTAGACCAACGTATCTACGTGAAAGATAATTCGGATGGCGCATTCGTGCGCAGAGGCGATCTCAATTCGCGCACGTGCTCGTCCAGAGCGAAGAATCGTTGTCTTCAATTAACAGTTGAACAGACCGTTCGATCGTTTCTTATCTAAAAATCATGTGATTTACTTTAACATCTTTTTTATAACGTCTAAAGCGATACAATTCTATAAGTATCATAATATTCGTAATGCTAGAGATAGTGAGTGCTATAAAAATGTATAGGATATTTATATGATATCGTATAATAGATCCAACGATCAAAGGAAGAAAAAGTTACTTTTTTTTTTTTAATGACGATTTTACATCGTTGTATCTCTCATAAATACGCGGTTTATCTTCGTAAGTTTAATATATACACGCGAGAGAGGGGTAAGCCCGCAATTAAATTAAATTTGACAAAAGCAGAGTAAAGCCGAGCAATAATACAAAGGTATCGGAGTGTTAAAAAATCCGGAACACGCGCGCATGTCATCCTTCCTCGCCGTTAATCTTCGTTCATATCGCGAACGTGATTAAAAACTGCGCGTTTATCGGCCGATAAAGGTAAAATCGGCGCAAAAAGGGACCAGAGCGTTCGTCACTGAAACGAATTACAACGGCAGTGCACCTCTTAACAATTTTTCGAATATCCGTCTATGCGATTTTCAGAGTGATAATATAACAGCCGTCGAAACGCGGTTCCGCGACGAGCGAGTCCGATAAAAATGTGAGCGCGTATTGAACATGCCTCGTTAATTTATCGATCGCCGTGTTCGGCGTGGTGTAAATTGCTCCCGATGACATCATCCGAATTATATTCCCTTTCACGTCGCTACTCATGCCTCTGTTTCCATTTTCATCGCGTATTTATGTTAAATGTGTGCTGTCCAATTTTCACCTCATATTTACGCCAAATGCCATTTTTATGTCTAAATGTATGAAGCCCGAATGGAAAGAATTGTCTCTCTCTCTCTCTC